GGGGAGAAACGTTCACGGATCGCAGAAATTAGAAAAATAAAAGGTAAGCACGTTATCGTCGAATCGAGCGCCTAAAGCGGTAAAGTACTATGAAGCGAGGAGTAGGCAAGTACGCGTACAATGACAGACACGATACCCTCAGACCTCCTTACTCCGTATCGCACCAATAACCCAACGAAGATCTAACCGATTCCAGATCGACGATTAACCGACGAAATTCTCAAAGTTGCTTGGAAAGTACAGCTGTTTCTGTTTCTCGGTCGATGCGCCAGGTGCGTCGGCGACAGGGCCCATGAAAACTCCCGTGTATTCTAGTAAAACGCAAATTCCGTGCCATCTGTCGTTAAACTCTATTACTATGTTACTGAGGCGGTACGTATGAAATATTCTGTATAATAAACTCATGAAGATTGTATAAGGAGTCCTAACTGTGTATGTAGTATAGAAGCATGAAGACTGTATAAGGAGATCCAACTCCCTAAGAAAGTTACTAGAAAACTGTTATCAAAATCCCGAACTTGAAGTTATGAATATTTCGTCCACTCGCGGCGCAAGTGCGCGCAGCTACGGTATATATGCATATGTGTATGTATTATCATATATGTGTATGATCGCAAATTGCGTCAACTAGATGGAGCCACAAATTGACAGTTCGTGGCGCCATCTTATAGAAACGGTTGGAACTATTCTTACTACAAACTTGGGCGTCTTATCACCGATGGCGCCACTAAATAAAAAACGATAATTATCCTTGTATTAAATAAATATTCATAAAAATGATAAATTTGACGTAAAATAATATAAGACATTAAAAGATAACAAATATTAATTTAATGTATTACATTTTTAGTTTGTCATGTAGTAACGAATCTAGGAAAAAGTATATGCTCCGCAGCATTTCTGTAAATATCCCTAGTTTAACAAAGTTGTGTAGTGCAAGTTGCAGTGATGGGCAAAACTCTAGGTTTCGAATAAATCTGAAGTTTGCCGATATGTTTGTCTCGTTTCCTCTTTTGAACATTTTCCAGAGAAAGAAACGGGACAAACGCATTGGCAAACTTCAGATTTATTCGAAGCCTAGGGGTTTTGTCTGTGCAACACTGTTACGGTTATCCAATCCATATGCATCTTTAGAATTTGAATTTAATGACGTAAACGGAAAACCAGTATGTAGTACGATACAAATCAAACAGTTCAGAATCATAATAGTAAACTTTGTGTTTTTATTAATGCTCTATTGAAAAAAAACAAGCATTGTTTATGACGTTCAATACAATGTACACTACGTACTTGTGATTTATACTGAAACTGTAAGTTTAATGTTAAAGTTGAAGTGATTTTGATAAATACAAGTTTGACAATGCTTTTGAAACAACAAAGACTACGTAGCTCTCGAGAGATTTTAATAGTTTTTATAGAAACGAAAACTACTGGATATTTTACGTTTATATTTTAATGAAGTTAAGCGTTCTTGTGTGATCTTTCATCATATATGTTCGAGTTATATTTTTGCTCCGTTAGTTAGCGTACATTGTTTATATTTTTATCAAGAATGTCGAATCTTTCGACAAATGGTAACGCTATGTTAAATAGCATGGATCAGAACTATACGAACACACGTCCAAAATTTCAACCGATACGCGTGAAAGAGTTGTTACATTTTTGTGAAAGTGACGACGACGAAAGCGAAGACAAACTAGACGATTCTGTTAACGAATCAGATTCCGATGATATTCAACCTTTACCTGTGGATAATAGCATTGAAGATAATTTCAATAAGTCGTTACCTTTATTTAATACAAAGTACGATAGCGACTTCAGACCAACTTGCAAAGTTCCACAGATTACCGTTCCTTCGAAACTTGAAGAACCACTTTCAGTCAATAAAATTGTGGAATGTAGAACAAATACTGTAACTACTGATGTGCATGTTTCTGCATCCAGCAGTTATAACAATGAAGAATTAGATGATAATAAAGTAAAAGATTTCACACCAGATAATCATAGCGAAGGGTCGCTTAACAATCTTAAAGTTGAAATTGACATTAGTATACCAAAACAGTGTTTGAAACATAACGAGCATGAACATGACTCGAGAAATGAAGGAAACATAAAGTCTGATCATGCAAATCATGTGCAATTAAATTATGAAAATATTTGTACGCAAGAGAAAAGTTCTCAACACGAGTATAAAAACAAGCATATTGTTAGTGAAGACATTAAAGGACAATCAAACGAAGGGCAGGCATGTAAAAGTGATTTTCAATCCCCAGATGAACATGATTCTTGTAAAGTAAATAGTAACGAACTTGGATCTCTTGTGTTTGCATCTCAACATTTCAGAAATGTATCGCAATTTGCTAGTTGTAATCCACAGAGTGCAAACACAAAAGTAGATACATTAGAACCAAAGTCAGTTGTAAACCAAGAAAAAGTAAATCATGAAAATAATGCTTCTAACAATTTGTCGACGTTAAACGTTGAACCATCGTCTGTTGATCGCTTGATGTTACAAACTCCTTTAAAACACGCACCACCTGGTTCTTCGCGTCCAGAACCTTGTTTCTCTCGTAGAAACATCGCTCAAACGCCGCAGAACAAAATATCCGAAATATCGAAGAATCATAGATTAACTCCAGCTACAATATCATCCCATTGGTCTCAAAATAATATAAGACAAACACCGCTGCAAAATAATAATTTCAATTTTAAGGATGCTGCACAAACTCCAAAAAATTGTGTCTATCTTACACCTAGCATAACAAAACACGAAACTCCAAGGTATATAATACAACTATGCGTTTAAGTACTATAATTTTCTGTTTAAATAAATATTTGATTGTAGGTATTTGAATACAGAGAGCAAAACGAGACAACCTTTAGCGGATACGGGAAGTTCAGCGTACAATAATGATTCGTCTAGGCATTTGTTACAAGGTTCTCAACTTTTCAAAGTAAACGAAGAAGTACCTAACAATCAAAATAAGTTATCTAATAGAAATTCAAGTACCAATACACGTATATGCAAGCAAATATTTGAAGCACCGGAAAGCGTTGTACAATTGAGATCAGACGCTAACGAACGACCGAAAGAAACTAATTATCTAAATAGAGAGGATGTATTGGTGGATAAAGTGGCTGCAACGCATAATAAAGTACCAAATAATGAGCATGTTATCCACTCTAATAAAAACAACAGAGAAACTTTAGAAGCTGTATGTAATGTTTCTCAAAATCAATATGGGATGGATAGTAACCAAAATCAACCGGAAAAGTCAAATAGAGTTGTAGATAATGCGTCAAATGTACAATTTTCAATGCCAACTAACATTCCCAAATCAAAGCAGACTAAGACCCTTTTCGTAAAAGGAAAGGAGTATTTAATTTTGGGTGTACTTGGCCAAGGTATGAGCGGAGAAGTTTTAAGAGTGCAAGACTTATTGTCTCAAGAATTATGTGCCATTAAGTGTGTCAATCTTAACCGTATGGATAAGGACTCGGCGCAAGGTTGCTTAGAAGAAATTTCAATGCTACATAAATTACAAGCGCCGTGTGTTGTTAAGATGTTCGATTAGTAAGAAATTAGTTTGCAAGTATACAATTTACGTATATAAATGTACCGATGTTTACATTCGGGTCTTTTTCTCATAGCGAAATTAAGTATCCTATGGTCTTTGTGGTGATGGAAATGGGAGATACTGATCTCAGTCGTCTTCTAAAAACTATGTTGCACGAGAAGCAAATTTCCCTCACGATGATTCTTTACTATTGGACAGAAATGTTGACAGCTGTGAAACACATACACGATAACGGTAAACATTTTAATACATAAAAATCGTATGTTTATCGTAGGAAGGTATATAGTCCTTGCTTGGCTAACTTGAGTTTTATGTTTACGTATTTCCAGGAGTAATTCATTCAGATTTGAAACCCGCAAATTTTTTATTAGTACGAGGAAGATTAAAGCTTATAGATTTTGGAATTGCTTCTAGTATGAATGCAGACATGACATCTGTTGTAAAAAACTGTCCGATTGGAACGTTAAATTATATTAGCCCAGAAGCACTGATGGATACTGGTGGAAACTCGGATTCTCCTACACATAATGTCAAATATAAGGTATAAAAAGTAGTTTTTTAAAATTTCGAACAGATTACAATGTATACGGTAATACTAAAAACATGTTAATTTCGTAGATTACTTTTAAGTCGGATGTTTGGTCGTTAGGATGTATTTTGTACAGTTTAGTGTACGGTCATACACCGTTTCATCACATACGATCACAATGGGCCAAAGTGAGTGCGATAACTAATCCAAAACCAAACATTCATTTCCCCGCAACTTTACCGCCAAGAGAAGGTGATAACAAAGTTGTACCATCGCCACCAATCTTAATCGATGTGATGCGTAAGTGCCTTCAGCATGACCCAAAGGCACGACCAACGGTGGCCGAGCTTTTGCAAGTGGACTACGTACCTACCAAGCAAGAACGCATGTTAACGTCAACTCCTAATATTCCAGCCAGTATTTTAGTGAAAATAAAACATGCATTGGACGAGACTGAATGGCGACAATTACTACGGGTTTGTGAATTTAACTCATTAAACTACGTTTGTCATTTTTACACAAATACATTAGCCAACAAAGAAAAGTAGTTCTTATTATTATTTTTTTAATATAGAAATTAAATTATTTACATTAAAAATAATAATTTGTAATTTGTGTATTTTGATGTTCTAGGCGTTGGAAAGTACACAATATACATAATGCTGTCTGGATTAAGCACTTCTATTTATGTACATAAATTCCTTTATACATAACAATCGATAATAATACCGTAGGGTACTTATTTAAATGTATTATAATGAAATGTGGGATTATTTAAATATTGGTTTAAAATGTAAAATTGTATCATGATCAACTGAATTGCAAAATCCATTAACGCTTACCTGTATAATATTTGCCAAATAGATATTGTATTACAAACGAAACACGGGTGATCTATTAAATTAAATAACTTTCACTTTATTATCACACATTCATCCATACAAATGACTTCATTTAACAGAACTGGTAGTTATTCACGAGTAGTTATTGTGCTAGATAACTGCATGATTGGATGTCTAAAAATACGTATCTACATGTTGCTCGTGAAACAATGTATTCCGAATCAATTCCTTTACAATTAGTTTTAGATTTTAAATAATACAAAAGTATGCAATATCTTCATACTAAACTTTTTAAACGTATAAAACAAACGCAGAAACTTCATCATTTTCTTTGCGTTCCTTTTTTTTCTTTTGTTCATTCAGAGTGTTCTTTTCGATATCAATGTATATTGCACAATATACATGTATAATGTATAACTTCGATATTGCCCGTCAGTGCATCGTCGTCAGTTGCCAATACTGCAATAATCTTTCACCTTTTGGTAAAGCTATTGAATTGGGTCTTTCGAACGTTAGCATGATATCTTTCACTTTATTTTTTAATTCCCGATCGAATAAATGTCCTCCGGTGCGTTCTAAAGCCGATGCCATGTCGTACTCGACAGAGGGTAAAGGTTCGCGAATAAAGCGAGCAGCACTAGCGATACTCGGTACTATGTGCCACTGCAGTGCTTTGATTTCCCAAAGACTACTTAGAAGAGCGTTGCTTAACAATGGATCTCGTTCTTCCATCAAGAACGGGTCTCCAGCACCGTTACTTTCTTCCGTTGAAATTTCTCCTTCTTGGGGATGATCGATGAGACGTTTTAAGCCAGGATGCCTAAGTAAAAGATTTCCAACAAACAATAAAATTATGAGAATATCTTCGGGTGGTGCAACAAGAGTTAAACGCGCGAGTCGTTTTGCAAAGGCGGCGACTAATGCTTCTGGTAAGTGCCTGGAACGTAACACGAATACGTGATAATCCTGACCCTCTCAATAAAGAAAAACTTTAACGAATAGACATATTTAGATATTGCGAATACTTACGTTGAACTGAGAAAAAGATCGGACAAGTAAAATAAGCGAGCTTTGTATTTCGTATGAAAAATTTCTGGCTCAAACATAGAATAAAGTTTGGTAAAGATGTTAGGATATTCCAAGTTGTGTTTGGTAACCAATAAAAATACACCTTGTAATGCGAGCAAGCCTATAGTCCCGTCTGCATCCAAGGAATCCATAAGAAAATCTGTTAGTAAAACAGGCTTTTCTAAATGTGGCATTACTCGTTCTAACAAAACTACTAATAACTGTTTATGTAACTGCGGCGTCAACTCCCAATGCATAACGCAAACCCAAACTTTATTTAACGCGCGTCTAGCTCCTGCTTGATCCCATGTAAAACTTTTACTATCTGGTAAAAAGAATATAACTCGTTATAACGATGTATAAAGAACGTATGTACGTAGAAAATGTATCTTCTTTACCTTGTTGTGGCCCGCATAATAAGTTTTTATTCTCGGACATCTCTTGTTCTAAATCATAAATTGTACACATGAAATATTAGATTCGATAGAAATTATTTAATTTACGATAATTAGACCGTTTAAATATATACCTTCGTTTTCCTTTGGCAACAGCAATTTGTGTATAAGCTCGAGTAAATTTTTTATATAAATTTCATGTGGCTGCCTTTTAGGTGTAAGAGAGGGAAGACATTTCCAGGTGTAGTAAAGAGCATCGGGATATTCCGTAATTTCTTGAAATCTAGATATTAAACTAGCATTGTCTTTCTCTGGCGATAGTAAACTCATCAAAATGGGTTTCAGCCGGTGAAGAGGGAAATAGTACCCTACACTGCCGAATGGTTCCAATGGATTTTTGCCTTCTTCTGCCATAAGCTTTATAGCGGTAGTGAGAGCTTGTAATTGAATAGCAGGCCGATACTTTTCTATTGTTAAAAGTATCTTCTCCCATATTTCTTCGTAACAATTTCTTAACCAGCTGATGTATCTTGCTTCTGGACTCGGCTCTGTTTCACAAATCTTATGAAAAAGCTGTTTCATAGTTTGAAATACTTACAAAATCTGTACAATGCTACAATTCGTATCTCCGTGGTTAATTTTTGTGTCCAAATAGAGATTTTCACAAAATATAACGGTATAAAACGCGTTCAATACGATACGAATTGAAACACTATCAGAGGCATGCATGATGTCAAACGCTGTCAAGTAGTTTTAAAGCATTAAAACGTTCGAGCATACCTGATATCGTAAGTGTTATCGTCCGTTCAAGATACATGTCACCCCTTCTCAAAACTTCGACGAATATCGTTTCCATCGTAAGCAGGCAGGACAAAGTGGATTCCTGATAGAGTGATTAGGAATTTTATTAAACGACATAACCTCGAAATATTCTGTGTATCGTCTATTATCGAATGATTTTAGAGCTCGCACTTACGTCCCATTGGGCTATTATGTCTACTAAATTGTTGGCATGCTTCCTCGAAGATAGAAATTCCTGTGCCTTTTGTCTTAAAAGTTTCGACGACATTTTCTGACTAGAGGAAGCGCCGGGAAGATCTGCTGCGTCCGCCATCGTCGTCTACGGAGAATTTGGTAATGGCAGAACTTATTACAAGACTCTACGAATGTGTTCTCTCGTATATTTATTACTTCCCGTAATTATCGTATATTCTTTGAGTCTGAAATATTTAAAAATATAAAACGCAAAGTTCGCGTTTCACCTCCATCGGTTGTAAGAGAAATCGATAAGGTGTAGTATCATTAATTGTATCATTTTCATCGTTCGATTAACGTTTTGAATTTTGTAAGACTGGTTGTCGAATTGTCGATACATGAATACATCCAAACACGCATCTTAGACGATTTTGAACTTTGAAGTTATTTTGCTATAAAACTGAATCAACGTGTGGTATCCTTCTGTAAAAGAGCGGATCAGGAAGACTTATTCCTCGGCAACTTTAATATAACGATACGTTGTAAGTAAATATACCATATAATTGTTGCATTCGTATCATACAATTGAGTGTATTTAAAAATCATTTTGTTGAGAATGGTGATATGACTCGTGACTGAAAGCATAATTATCAAAATTATAATTGTTCGCTAACTAGTTATCGATATCGATAGCACATAACCTGCAAATTTATTATTATCTTCGGATATCATTTTATCATATAAAAACAATATGATTTTGAAGATACAATTATTCTATATTTAAAAATGTACTATACAATGTCAGTTATATTCCATTCTAATATTCTTTTAAACGAACTTCTGTTTTTTATATTTAGTCGAAAGGAAAGATGTTAGAAATAACGTGTAACGACCGTCTTGGGAAAAAAGTCAGAGTTAAATGTAATCCAGACGACACGATAGGCGATTTAAAAAAATTGATAGCTGCTCAAACAGGGACACATTGGGAAAAGATTGTTTTAAAGAAGTGGTATACCATTTTTAAGGATCACATAAAGCTACAAGATTGTATCCTTTGAGATCGAATGTGCTTCTATATTGTCGCACAGTATTAGATAATTCTGTATTTTCCTTGAATTAACGATTTAGATGAAATTCACGATGGCATGAATTTAGAACTTTACTATCAATAATTAATAAATAATTCGTGTTAGATATAAATACAATAATAACAGTAATTATAAATTTTTATATTTAAATATTTCATGATTTTGTATCTTACATATTATTAAATTGTACAATGTATATAGTAACTATATAATAAATAAACATAGATAGCAACAGCAAAAATAATATCATCTTGTATTGTTGCTGTTAATAGATTTATAAAGCTTTATAAAACTTGCTATATGTAATTGTTACTTAACACCTAAATATTGCTATAATATTTTTACAAACTCACTCTCTACAAATATAGCCTATTTTCACGCAGTAAAATATAAGATTTGACATTAACATTTTGTACCTAAGTTAGATCCTTTAACAATAGGTCTGAATATAACGTAAAACATTTTATCATGCATTTTTCAAAACTTAATTGTATCACTTTAAGGTCATCACTAATTTAATGTAGTATGACTGCATTAAAAGTATGCGAGTATTGCGTATAACGAAAACACGATTATCGAACTTATTTTTCATCTAGCTCTAAACCTTTTAAAATTAATGCGGCCTCTTGGACAATTTTTCTGTTCTGTTTATCGAATGTTCAGGTTGCTTTGTAACCCTACCCCTGTTGCTTAAGAAGTCTCTTATGTGTTGCACTATCAAGTCTATCGCCACTGCAACAAAACATAAAATATAAGTACGTAAACGGTTAAAGATTGCTCGTTCGACGACAGGGAGGTCATTCTTTATTATTATATCAGTTTACAATATAAACAAATGTCATAAAATTATACATGTCAAATGATAATTGTTCCATGTAACGATATACTGTTATGGGAATTAAAATGTGTTTAGCATTTATTTTCAAAATAAAAGAATCGAATAAAAAACTAGCACTACAGGATAACGTTTATATGCTTTATGCTTGTTTATAAAATTTCAATGTACGTCTATACGAATATAGAAAGCGGCGAACCGGTCAAGGAATAACATCGTATAAAAAGTCTAAGCTTTCAATTCCATGCATAATTGCATATGCATACACACGTACTTACAAATGTTCATATGTGTGAGTAATACTTGAATCTCTCTAGTATATTAGAATGATGTAGTATATTAGAATGACGTATTTTGTATAACCATGCAGTATGTCCATATTTTAGGAAGAGTGTAAAATTAATTTTATCCTATGTAAGGGACTAATGAATGCACGCATATTAAAAGCAATTCTGTTGCTCAATATAAATTTAATACAAATACAATTCTGTAACTATAGAAGAGACATATTAAATATTTAAAAAAAAGATTCAAAATTACTGCAAATAACTTGCTTATACATAAATGTATGATAAATATGTAAAAACGCAATGCTTATAAATGAGTGTATTATGCTTAGATCATCTGCTGAGCGAGTCGGAAATTGAGGTATGCCTATGTTGGTAGATGTATGGATGCTGCCCGGATGAGTTTTCAGCCTTTTTCAAACGCAAAATGTCCCAGATGTGGTGCACTATAAGGTCTATTGCCACTGAAAACATACAACAACCAAACCATGTACGTTTTCTTAAATGACCTTAACTTTCACGCTAAATTAAAAGACAGCTTTGTTTTTGACAGCCCTTGCATACCAGGCAGCACCCATTAATATACAGATTAAAGCTATACAGACATGTACAAATGCAAATAATAACGAATTTAAGCTGCCTTGCTATATCGGATCTGCACCTAAATTATGTTAACTATCTTTTAATAATACAAAGAGTTAAAGTTAAGCTACAATCATGCTTAACTCTTATATCTTGTAAATTAGGTGCAGATCAAACAAGAATGAATTCAAACTATGATACAATGAAAATATACATTTATGAATAAGTTAATAATACTTGTTACATGTTTAATAGCAAAAAAATGCAATGAAATATTCCAAAATATATATGACACCATATGCTTAAAAGTATAACCTTGCATATAATCCGATATATGGTTATAATGCAACAATTTACCTGTATTATCTGCACCTCTGGGTATAATTACATCTGCAAACTTCTTTGTAGGAAGACAAAATTCTTCGAATGCAGGTTTTACAAAATTCATATATTGATTCAATACGTAATCTAAGTCTCTTCCTCTTTCCTTTATATCTCGTGGTACTGCAAAAATAATTGAAAATATTTATTTAATAGTATAGAATTATTCCGATGTATACAGTTCTGTTAAAAAAATGACGCGTTTTCGCATAGTTTTACCCCTTCTAGCCAATCTAGTATCCGAATCGGTATCTACGAACAGTTTCATATGAAATAAATCTCGTATCTTAGGAAAATAAAACACTAAAATTCCTTCGAATAGAACTACGTCCGCAGGGTAAATTGTTGTTGTTTGATCTTTGATTCTGGAATTGAAAAGAATCATTGAAACTCTGTGCCGATCTACACTATTTTTGAACGATAAAAGTACGTACAAGCTATTCGTTCTATAATCGTAAGATGGTATTTCACATTTCACACCAGCTAGTATATCTCGTAACGTTTGAAGTATCAAATCGTTATCGAAAGCATCGGGATGATCGAAATTATATTGTCCTTTCTCGGCTTTCAGTTTCTCAGCCGGCGATAAGTCGCGATAAAAACTATCCTGTGAAATGCAAACTACTTGTCGCTGCATGTGATCCATATCAACTTGTCCCAGTTTCTCCATTATACGTTTGCAAACAGTTGACTGAAATAACAAAACACACACACACGCACACAATCATTTCGTCAATTATTTTCGACGAACGAATCGACACAACGAGTCGAGAAGTCAGACCATCTTCGTATTATACGTTTCTTATTAAGGTTAAGTCGTATAAAAATTTGTACTGTTTATAAAATGACAAGTACAGTTGATTACGACGTTCGAGAAAATCCAGCTACGTATGTTACTCACTTTCCCACTGGCCGTGCCACCGGAAACGCCGATTAAAAACGGCGTTTTACTTTCCAAACCGTTCAGTTTTCCATTAATACCGAAAGACATCTTTCGCGGCGTGATAACGTTTATCGACATATCTGCCATCGTGTAAACTTTATTTATACGTTCCGCAATTGAACAATGAATCGACCCCGAAGCCGAGTGTGATTTCGAAACAACTGTCTCGCCGTGCGTATCAACGAGTAATAATAAGTGATACCGATAGTAATGGCAAGGGTATCGATAGAAATGCAGGCAAACACTTGATGTAATGATTAACTAAAATCGCGCGCGCGCACATTACCAGTAGTATTCAACTAATTATACAAGGTGTTCAAGTTATCAGTGCCAAGGATCTAGCTGATCTACATTGATCTATTTAGATGATCTACCTGTGAGCACGTGCGAGTCCCAACCTGTCCCAACCTGTCCCAATCTTATGCACACTAGGACGTGATTTGGTACAATAATCTTTCTCAAATATTTATATCCGTATTCCTGTGCATGCCTTGAGAACTAAGAGAGGTCCAGAAACATTTGTTCAATTTAGAATATTCGATGATATTTTTTAAAGTAATTTTGAAATTGGCCATTAATATTTCACAAAAACTGGGAAACCTAATCTTTATCTGTCTTTAAATATATATAAGTAAGTTAACGATATGATGTTTACAGCAAATACTCGTTAAGTAAGTCAATTTTATGATTATAGTGAAACACTGCTCCTATTTATGATCATCTTATCATTGAATAGATGATTGCATAATAAATGAGTATAGATGTTTATCCCATGGAAATATATAACGCTGAATTCATTAATCAAACGTCAGGCTTGTTCATTACCTAGTTACGAGGTAACATTGTGTTATATTAGTTTATTATTAGCATAGTTGTTTAATGGTGCTTGGAAGTTTTGATTTTGTAAATAATATACACAAATATAGAAGAGATGGTTACTCATATGTACCATGATAATTCTTACAAGGTATAATACGGACTGTTATTTAATTTATGTTCAGTTTACTTATACAGATAGGAATAGTAAACTAAGATATATAAGAAAAATCATTTATCACATTTTTAGGCTGCTTTAAAAGCATTGCAAGGTTTACAAAGCAACATTCAATATTTGAAGCTGGCAACAAAAACAGATAATAGTGATCTTTCTAACTTATGTAATACAGAAAAATACTTGGTTCGGTAATGATTTTTTTTTTTATTTTGTTGAAAAATTAACGTGTATACCGAACATAACGATAATTTTACCAACATTGTTTTTATAGGTCAGGTATTACGCTTGAAAAATTAGAAACTTTGTCTGTCATACATGTAGCAGGTACTAAAGGAAAAGGTTCTACTTGCGCATACACAGAAGCTATTTTACGTCAACATGGTTTTAGTACAGGATTTTTTAGTTCTCCACATTTGGTTACAGTCAGAGAACGCATAAAAATAAATGGAGAATCGATAAGCCAGTCGCGTTTTACACACTATTTTTGGAAAGTGTATAAAAAGCTGGAAAATGCGAAAGAACACGAATCCGACATGCCTGCGTATTTTAAATTTTTAACAGTTCTAATGTTTAATATATTTTTAGACGCGAACATTGATGTTGCTATTATCGAAGTTGGAATTGGCGGGCTGAAAGATAGTACAAATATCGTAAGGAATCCTGTATGCATAGGTATAAGTAGTTTAGCATTGGATCATACTTCCTTATTAGGTAATACTATTGAAGATATAGCTTTTCAGAAATCTGGGATTTTTAAACCAAAGTCAATTGCATTTTCTGTTCCACAACTTCCACAAGCGATGCGAGTGTTAGAGAAAAGAGCAATTGAAAAAGATTGTTCATTACATATTGTCCCTTCTTTCAAAGAATATACATGGGAAAATTTAACACCTATTTCAAAAATAACAAACAGTATCAAACAACAAAATGCATCTTTAGCTATTCAGTTGGCCATTGCATGGATAACGTGTAACAACGATAAATGTTTTTCGACGATGAATACTACCATAAATGATAATAACTTTTACAATAAATATAAAGAATATATTCGAATAAATAGTTCTATACAAGAAGCACAAGTTTCAAAGATTGTGGATATGAATAAGATTGCGGTAGGTTTATCTTCTTGTAAATGGCCAGGTAGAATGCAAATTTTAAGAGGTAGCATCGCCGAGTTTTTCGTAGATGGTGCACATACGATTGAAAGTATCGAAGGCTGCGTTAATTGGTTTAACGAAGTAAGCAACAACAGAAATAGAGAGAAAAGAATTTTAATTTTTAATTCTAGTGGAAATCGAGATCCAATTCCGTTATTGACACCTTTGAAGTCTTTATATTTTCGTAAAGCATATTTCGTACCAAATATTGCCGGAGTGGAAAATGTAGATGCCGAAACAAATTGTTATTTAATAGATGAGCAAAAACTTAAATGTGTGAAGAATTCTGAAGTATGGGGAGCTGATTCTGTGGTTGCAAATAGTGTTTTTGAAATTCTACAAGAAATTAAAAAGGATTCTGAAAAAGAAATTAATTGTAGTAACAATGAAAAATTTCAAATTCTTGTTACCGGATCGTTACATTTAGCAGGTGCGGTTCTTACTATATTAGATCCGAATTTGACGATGAATACACAATTTTAATATGTATCTAAATGTAATTGAATAATCATTTTGTAATATAGAAGTACAAATAACAAGAATATTTTGTATAAACAGTAAAATTATATATTTAATAATCATAATAACAATAACTGTATCAATTCGTAATATATTAATGAAATATTGCATTGTTATCTTGATGACAATAGCAAAGTACTCGTTAATATTTTTTCTTAAGAATATTTTTTGTACTTTAGTATAAATACATTTTTCATAAAACTACGCATGATTGTAAAGTTGTAATAATTTGTACATATGAGTGAGTGAGCGGGTGCTATGTACGTTCACAAAGATGTGATCTTAAAGTAAGAGTGGCTAAAAGGCTTAAAATATTTTTGGATGGTAATCTAGTTCTGACTCTGCCTCGGTATCTGATAAACTTAAGGAAACACCAGTTCTTCGCCGTAGATGAGTTTCATCGGGACTCTGAAAAATATATAAAAATATTATCATTTATACTGGCCTGGTTCCTTGTGAAACGAGTAGTAAAACATTCCGAAATGACTGTGTATTCTATTTCTCGATAAGAAGTATGATTAGTACCTGGTCTAGAATACCGGCAGTAGGCTCAGAGGCATAACCTACTTCTTGTGCATCTTCTTCTAGATCTGCCTCGTATTCTTCCAACTCATCCGTGTCTGAATCGATGTCCAAATCTACGTATCGACTTCCTCTGGAGACTTTGCATACCATTTGAGCTAAATCCGTAAACGTGTACGATGATACAGATTGTTGATTCGATACCTGATGCTTTGCTCGTAACGCTCGTGCGTTTTCTCTGTCGGCATTAAATCGTGGAAGAACTCCAGCGTTCGACTGTCCTTCGAAATAAGTCTTTCCTATTCATGTAAATTAAATAGTTTATGTACATGTATCAAATTCTCAATCTCAAATTATACGAATAATAAAAGGTTACCGTGTTGATATCCGACATCTTTAATCTCGTCAAAATTTGTAAACTGAAGAGTTTTATATTTATCTATCGGTGGCCTGATATATTCGCAATAATCAGAGTTTTTCACTTCCTCCAATTGCCGTACGCAACTTACGTACGCCAGCCTCGATTGTATATCAGGCAAATTCGGTACTTTAACGGGCGTTGCGAAAGGATTCCAACGTTTCCACAATAGCCACCAACCGGACAAAGAATCTCCATAATTTGTTAAATCCGTGTCATCCTGTGACCCAACGTCGATTGCCAAAATATGGTGTGCTCCTTGTCTCAACATTTCGTCAGCTTGAACAAATAAATGATTAATGTACACGGCGAAAACCAATTACGATTGATTATATATTATTTCTATGAACTGATAAACAATACAGATTTTAAAGTACCTGGCACGTTATTAACATAACACCCATCGACCAAAAGATGCCCGTCAAGAGGGTCGCAAATAGGAGGAAAGACCCCCGCAATGGTCATACTGGCTCGAATGTATCTCCATAGTAAACCTGAGTTCACTTAGCTATTCAGAATTTGACAAATGCATCTTTTATCAACGGGAGTGAGCTTTACGTCATTTTTTTTTTTCATTATTTAATTGTAACGAATCGTTTCATTATTTATACGAATGAAAAAGAATCTAATGGACTACTCGTTCATAATATTAATTTGTTGTACAATGTCCAGGTAATTTTGTAAAATCAATAAAAATTTATATAAGAGCGTACGTGCGTTCAACTTAAAATATTTTTTACCGTGTACATTAATAATAAGTTCTGTTCAAATGAATTCAACGTTGTAAGTTTCTTAACGCACTCTTTTTAATGTTACGCTCAAATTACCTGGAAGGTTATTGACGTACCCGCCGTCGAGCAGGAGATGGCCGTCAACTGGGTCACACATGGGTGGCATATAACCAGACAAAGACATCGAAGCCCGAATGTACCGCCACAGCGATCCTAAACACCACGAATTAAGTTCCTTAATGTATGTACATGCATTTTTTCTTTACTTTCTATATTCGATCATAAGTCGTATGATGTACATTATAGCAAATATCACTGGTTCAAAAATTCCTTGATACCATCTATACAGGAAATAAAAAAAAAAAGAACACAATATTCGCCTTGACGGCAAACGATACAGAACGGAGAGTACGTCAACAATGATTACCCAGAAAGCTCACTCCCGCTGTTCAAGCATATTTCTACATAATGCTCTACGACAAATGGGTATTCGAACTTCAAAACAAAATTTTAGGTTAGGAGCATATCTACAGGGTCTATCAATTTCACCAAAACAGCGAGAGAGTTTCCAGTTAGTTAAAGCTGAACAATTTGAATTATGTCTTAATCATATTTAATCGAAGAGAACTGGAAACTATCAATGCTTCGAGAAACGTGAAACTTTCTTCCTTTGAATACAGACCGTGCGTGTGTGTACGCATACAAGAGTCAGTGATGTCTGTAGTTATTGTAAAATACGGTAACCACAGGTCCTCTATGTATGTATCGCCAAATGTTGCTTGAATTGTTTTATTAAAATCTTTTCCAGAGAACATGGATGTCACAGGGTACGTCAAGTCCATTATTTGCCTCCACCACTGTGTCATTTTCTATTAAATAGATATTCGTCAACATAGAACAAAAATACCAATAGAAATTATTATAAATGTAAAAATATTTACAGTATTTTTATTAGCTTTAATTCTGTGGTAATTACCTTAGACCATTCGCGAGCTTTCTGAGTCGTCGTCGTAATATTCTTTTCCATGCAATACAATGCGCCCATAAAAGCACCGATGCTAACTCCACCGACCATGTCTATGGGTATTCCAGCTTCGATGACCGCTTTAAGCATACCTACATGGGCTGCACCTCTAGCACCACCACCTCCGAGTACTAGGCCAACCGAAGTTCCAGTTAACCACCGAGCGAGTCTACTAAAGTCACTATGAACATTTGGCTCTGACATAAGAACCTTGGAATATAATTCATTCTAAAAAAAAATTTTTCAAAAATTATTTCAATGTCTTATCTGATACGAGTATAAACTATAACACGTTGTATATTACAATTCTATATTGAGATCTCCTGGTGAACATTCGTTTAGGGCACAAAATGTGATGATGACTAGAAATCCAAGATCTCATATTCAACCACTCCACTGTATTCGTTGGCCGCTGTCCGCTCTGTTCTTTGTGCAAAAGAACTAATTCCTTTTGCGTTCTCATTACCAAGCGTTCGATTTCGCGTTCTGTTCTACCTATGGAAGGAGGCCTATCTCCCAAACCGACAATAAAAATGCAGTCCGCCTGTCGAACGCATCGTTGAGTCCACAATGTGTACGTTGGATCACATTGGTACAATGAAATTCGGTGTTGATCTTCTTGTTGCGCGAGCCATGATGTTAAACGATATTCATTCGCGGGTTCCATAATAGTGCTACCTAGAGTCTGTTGATAAAAAAAAATGCATATAAAGAATTTGATTGTTCGTGATGGAAATAAGAAAGCGAATGGATTTTAATTGCTTACTTTTCGGACAACATCTGAAGTGAGGCGTAAACAAGGTCCGATAGCACACAACGAATGATACAGTTCGAATGTAAATGCAGTTAATGGTACATCATCAGATACTGGGACTATAGCTACAGTTGAGAAATTTACTTGAGCTGGTCTCGTATCAATTGTCGCAGCAGCCCGCCTGTAAATATATTTATACATAGGTGTCTTCTAATTTGATAAGAAATTAATTTTATAAACACTATTACTAATGTATCGGATGCATACTGCTTATCACTGCTGCCACCTTTCGAGTGTGGCTGTTGCCAAGACCCAAGAATACGGTGCCCAAGTAAATTTATAAGCCTTGTGACTACTATGGGGTAACGAAGTTTGATCACATTAAACAATCCTTCGGGAAGTTTTGCCAGTTCAGAGTCTCGTACCGCCATTACTGTTGTTGATCGTGGAGTTTGCGTGACCATTTCTACGATACCTACTAGGTCTCCCTTCCCATATTCCGCAACGAGTTCTTTCTTTCCGTTTTCATACGTAATCACCGACCGAAGTCGGCCACTTAGTACAATAAACGTAGAGTCCGATTCATCGCCTTGTCTATACACTGCTCTTCCACTTTCAAGAAATAGCCAGTCGAGAGCAAAATCAACCTTTTGTAGAAAAATGAAAAATTAATAGTAACTATCCAGTAAAATATAAATGGAAAAATGTTTATACCTGTCTAACGAAAGGACTAAGCCTTCGGACAACCGAGTGAGCTACGTGTAATACAACGGTAGGTTGTTCTCTCATAATGGCAAAGAATGTTGATTTACTAAGAAGCGCGATGCGACTAGGATGTTTTGCTCTAATGGTATAGAAAGAAGGCTCTCCGGTTAATACAGCCAATCCTCCAACAATTTCACCTTGATGAGCGCTAAACATGTGAACTTCTTGACCTACATCTCTGCCTTCCGAAACGCGTTGACTAACAGTTAATAAACCGGATACGACATAGACGAGAGCAACATCCTGAAAAATATAAGTATAACATTGATATATTTAAATATGAATATATTTACGTAATATATAACACAATATTATATCGATTTTCCTAGAACCTTATGAGATTCTTCTTTCATTAGATAAGTTCCAGCAGGTACTTCTCTAATTTGAACCTTGCCATCCTTAAGTATCGATTCGTCTTCTAAACCAAGTTCTCTCACGAATGCTTCGGTAGCTATTTGAACAAGATGCGATTCGTCTAATTGTTGCGGGATTGGTTCGATAGTTGTGGATCGTTTTTTGCTTGGGTGAGAATTGCCTGTGTTTACAACGTCCGGTTGCGATCCTTGGTATGATTGTTGCGATGTTGCAGGCGAAGAATTTGCCCAATGAGAATCACATTCTGGTACCATATTTGCTGAATTCTGATCTAATTGTGGGCTTAAATTTTGATTTTTCCAATCAAAACTAGTCTTTGGCCTATTATAGAGTATACGTTAATATGAATGATTTTTCTTTGTTAAATAATTTTGTTTACCTTACCGTCGATTGATAACGATAGGTACGGATTGAGGACTACTCGAAGTAGAAGTATCGCGCTGAAGCATTTCACATGCATCGTGTTGCTCCGATGAAATAGTAGTTGATACAGAGGATTGATATTCCATATTTGGCGTAGCGAAATTTTCTTTAGTTCTCGATCTAACCGGTGATCCAGAAAATGGACTCTGTTTCTTTTTGTGTGTTCCTTGATTAACTAATTCCGCGGACAATCCAAGATATTGATGTAAAGCGGTAAAGGTGACTCTTTGGAGGCGAACCATAATGACCTGGATAACTCGAACGAACGCATCAGGATGATCTTGAAAAACCTATAAACATGCGAATACGAGTATTATATTATGAACCCTAATCGTAATTTTATTAAAATCCATTCTGTACAATTACATTATACCTCTTGAAATGCGCTCATCGGTAATTTGACTACTATAGAATCTTCGACAGTTCTAGCGGATACAGTCTTGTAGGTACTCGTATGCCCAGTAAGTACGTCCGTGAAACTAAGAAGACTAGTTACAGATTCCCCAGTTTTCACTAGTTTTAACGATATTTGGGAACTATCGGGTCCTGTAATATAAACATTGACCAGGCCTTGCTGCACAATAAATAAATTTTCATCCGGATCCCCAATTTTAAATAAACTGGTACCAGCTGGTAAACTCATAATTTCTGTATGCTTGCATAATTTCAAGAATACAGGCTTTTCAAAATGACCAAATACTCTAATACTTTGCAACATGTACAAAGCATCTGGCGGTACTCTGTCACCAGGACCTAGGTCTTCTTCCAAATATTCAGCAGGTGGTTCCAAAACCTACAGAAACAGGAAAATATATAGCCTACAAGATGCATTACAAAAAGTAAAATGAAATTTAATAAAACTAAAATTTGAATACTTTTAATTGTTGCGGCGTGGAATCTTTTTTTAATTGCAATAATCTTCGTGCAAACCGCATAACTGCCTTTCGTTTTTTTCCTTGTCCTGTTGCATGTACTTGTCCACCGATAGATTTTACTTTGCGTAACATTTTTCTTCCATAAAAGAGGACCTTGTCCCTTTTTCTGAATCTGGGCTTGCCTGTACCTACTCCGACGAATTCTTTCATTTCTGGGAGAAATTCTTTGTTTTTCCATTTTCGAAGAACAATTACACAAACGACAATTAAAATTATAAGAACCAATGCCGCAATAATAAACAAGGTTTTCGATGTTTGATATTCCGTAATTAATTTGCCAATCCATCTCGTAAAGATGTACGATCCTAAATTCTCGTTGTATCTATTGAATAAATCCACTACCTGAAAGTAATAAAGGTAATTCAGTAACAGTTAATTATTTATAAGTTGTTTATAAATGTATAGCAAACGATGTTTTACAAGTGTACATAAAAAAGGATTACGAATGAATTATTATAAATAATAACCTCCATAGTGGGCACTCATTTCTTCCATTGGTCTAGAGCAGGATTTAATCGAGGATCGCGTCACGAATTCATAAGTATGCGGAATACGAAGCAGATGAATTGAAATAAAGTCCTGCTTTTCAAGTAAAATATTAGTTATCTACAATCAACTAATGACCTTTGATACTTCGGTCGAGTCATCCAACGCCATTTTAGTCGCACTTAAGTAAGTACATATATGCATGGACATGTTGCAACTCCAAATTACACCATTTTTACATATATAATGCATATGTACATAATACTCGACTATTTCGAAATATTTTGAAAGTGGAAAATATCTTCGTATACTACGTCCAATGTCCTGTATATCTTTTATATTTAATAAAAATTAAATATAAAATTTAATAAAACGATTGAAAAGAATAAAATTGGAAAAAAAACTCTTTTTATTACCATTAATTCGATATGATTTAAGTATGCAGGAATCGCATACGTTTCTTGTTATCAAGAAAAAAATAAATACATTTATGTGTCTTTGTGACCCTCGATCTATTTGTTTTTTTGCGAATGTAAAGCTCTCGTCGTTTTACAATAATTATGTAAATTCATTTTTGTTAAAGCACGGTTCGAATAGTTGGCGCCAATGTGTATGTTAGCTCGACCAATGGCGGAACGCATCCCCTCCCCGACAGCCACTTATACCCGAGAAGGTCGATAGAGCGCGCTACGGCGGAATTCCGGGCGGTTTTCAGTGAACAGTTGGGTACGGTCAGTCAGTGGTTACGGGTCGACATGTTGGCGACGTTTCAGTGAGTGGTGAGCGCGGTAGATCTGACGCGTGATTTTTCATGCGTTTTTATCGCGTGTTCGATACCAGAGGTGTTTCTCGTTCGCGACGCTACATGTGAAGTGTCGAGTGTGACTAGCCTGCTGCTCGTGCCTGGTTTACCCAGCCCAGCAAACATGAGCTGGGGTATAGAACTCTGGGTAAGTCTCTCCTTGGTTTTCTCTGTCCATCTATCTGTCGCCGTTTCTCCCTCTCGTTCTTTCGCGATACAGCGATCCGCACGCACACGAAAACGAAACACGCCGAATAGCTCAAGGCGTTCGACGGTTGAACATTATCGTCGAACCGCTGCCCCGTTGTTTTCGCCAACGCGTAACAACGATATCCTTCGATAACCAGTTCACGGTGGCAAACCACTCACGGGAGTTTTACCTTTGCGGTTGCTAGCCGCGGGCGACGTTCTTCTCTCCTTTGGTGTATCCCCTCTCCTCCAGCTATCGTACCCAACCCGGGTGTATATACGTGTACTCATCGTTGGTGTGCTCCTTCGCTTGCTTCCTTTCTCATGAAATCTTGGACGAATACCGGTGCTATACGGTGTGACAGTGACTTGTCGTCATCTTACCGTGACGCAAATCTCCTAGTACGCGCAATCGATTCTCGCGGAGGGATTACTTGCAGCGTTTTTCTTCCCTTGCAGTCTTCTTTGTATCCGCTTTGTTTATTCACATATCGAACGATATCTGGGGAGTAATTTACCTGCGCGCACGGCTTACAGAATTTCACGTATCGGTCCCGGCTTTGTACTCTCGGGAAGCCACGAATCGCGGTACAGTTGCGTCTGTGAACTTGTAGTGATTCCAGCAGGTGTACTACGTATCCGTTATCGGACGAACTATTTTTTTCACCGCTATTCGTTTCGATTCACTAGACGATCTATATTATCGACAAACAAACGAGATTCTTTTCTTGGAATGCAGTTACCGTGTTCGCCATCGATTCGACACTACCAGGCCGCTATTTGTATTCTTCCACGTCTTACGAAAGTATTTACGCGCATCTACGTCTACACACGGCCCGAGAATCGTGCCGCTCGACGTCATCTTCCTTACTTTCTGTTCCCTATAAAATATAAATAATTCATTCGTTCGTTCCGACCGATCGTTTCTTTCCCGACCATCTCTTTCTCTCCCGCAGCGTTCCAACGAATCGACAAATTTCTAGACGTTCGATCTTTTCGCAGCCTTGAGCTCTCCGGCAGCCGTGGGCGTTTAGAAGCGTCGCGGTGCGTGCGATGAACGCGTATGAGCGTTCGGCAACTATAGAGATGGGTTTATTTGAATGAAAAAGATGGCGAACGAAATGAAACGTATCCACGTTGTTCGCTCGACTCGATTATTATTCGGATAAGATTTCGTTCGTGTAACGCGAACAGTCGTTTATCTGCGATCCGTTGTTCGACGTTTTTATCTAGATACGAATTTTTCGTCGTGTACAGGGAACGTATCGTTACGAACGATTTCGTATTACGAATACCGAGATTAGATCGCAGCTCATCGTTGTTTCGGTTCAGAGGAAATCGGATTCGTTTCGTACTGTCGCCGTATATTACGATTGATTGGTGTTCCGCTCGTGTTCTTCTGTGAATCACGATACAGGACGCGTTCGTGTTTAACCGCTAACGGCCGCTCGCGAGCATATGTACACGTACGACACGGGCGTGTCTCGCCATGCTCTTGACAGAGAAAGGGAGAAACAACCGAGAGAGAGTGTCGCTCGGGGAATTTCGGTGTGAAATTTTACTTGGACGCGCGCGTACAATTCCTTGTTTCTTTGTTTATTTCCTTGGCCTATTTTTTTTTTTTTTTTTTTCAACGGTAAATAAACATTTGCGTACTAAAATAGCAGCGAACGCGTGATGGACGAACGGTTATCTCAATTACGCTTTATTTATTAGATCGTTTACACGGTATAGTTGTTATCCGCGCACTTTGCACTCGGATGTAAATATTTCTTTTATAACAGGACCTCGATTCGCTTGGAATCGAGTATCCAGGGTCTACGTTTTCCAACTATGATTATATAATTGAAATTAATTATTTTCTAGATTTTATCTATCGAAAGACTTTTTTGAAAATAGGTAATAGAAAATTCCTTGCGGTTGAGAGAAGAAAAAGTCCGAAGGATATACCCGAAAAATGTACGGTCTAGATTACGATGTCCCTTGTAACTCGTTTGTCGTTGAAACGAAGTCAATGAATCAGCGTGCTCGAAGCCGCGGTCGGGTTTTAGCGTAAACGAGCGACGAACTGTGTCTCTTTCGTTGGAAAGGTAAACTCGGGCTCGACTTCGTATGCTAACCGATGATTTCATGGCTCGACATTCCTGGCTCGCGTCTCGGTCGACTCGTTAGGGTCAGGTACGTTTCTTTCTTCGGCGCAGAACTGCCTAAAATGGTTATCGCGCGTCACGAAACGACGTAGCGTTACTCGAGGCACGGTTACGGTTATTGGTAATCGATACGGACGCGAAAAAGAGCTTTTCCGAAAGACACGAAACGGAAAATTCTCGACGTACCCGGGACGAAATCTTCACGGCCGGTTTGTCGGTCAGCTAATAAACTGAGCGTGAACCGCGTTAACAGCGTGGAACAGAAATGTTGACCGATTAAATGTCACACTTGTCTTTTGACCGTGCGAAAACGGTTCTTTTTCACGACGGACCGTTTTAAATGGCGCGCAACTCTATTCGAATCATAGAGACATCGTATTATAGGTTGTAGGCGCGTAGGTTCGCCAAAAAGTTGGTTCGGTTTGGGAAAGAGAAAAGAGGAAGTTAACGAACGATACATCGTAAAATTTAAACTATCGAGGTACAAACGAAACGAAAAGCGGTACGAACGGATAGAAACGATTCTAAAGAATCGGGAAAAAACAGATTTTAAAAATCTTGAAAATTGACGATTTCCACTCCTACGCGGATCAACAATTGCTTGTAAAATTTAAACTACCGAGGTACAAACGAAACGAATAGCGGTACGAACGGATAGAAACGATTCTAAAGAATCGGGAAAAAACAGATTTTAAAAATCTTGAAAATTGACGATTTCCACTCTTACGCGGATCAACAATTGCTTGTAAAATTTAAACTGTCGAGGTACAAACGAAACGAAAAGCGGTACGAACGGGTACAAACGATTCTAAAGAATCGGGAAAAAACAGATTTTAAAAATCTTGAAAATTGACGATTTCCACTCATACGCGGATCAACAATTGCTTGTAAAATTTAAACTGTCGAGGTACAAACGAAACGAAAAGCGGTACGAACGGATAGAAACGATTCTAAAGAATCGGGAAAAAACAGATTTCAAAAATCTTGAAAATTGACGATTTCCACTCTTACGCGGATCAACAATTGCTTGTAAAATTTAAACTATCGAGGTACAAACGAAACGAGAAGCGGTACGAACGGGTACAAACGATTCCAAAGAATCGGGAAAAAACAGATTTCAAAAATCTGAATGTCGGGTGCTGACCATTTTTTGAATTTTTTTTTAATTATTAATCGATGAAGGTACAAACGAAACAATTGTTACTACAATTAACTACAAACAAAATACTATCATTTTTTACAAAATAAAAAAAAAATGAAAAAAAAAAAAAATTGAAAAGTCCGGTGCCAGGTTCACATAACTCCAGATCGAGAAGATCGAAGAGCGTATAAAGAGGAACGATTCGTTTAGATAAGCCATTCATAAGTTCGCGTACGGGGTTAGAAAGTTCTCAATGGATTACTCGTAAATCTCCGTTAATGGGAGAGGTCCCACACAGGGAAAGCGGAATTGATCGAAACGGGGTGATTAAATTTGAATCGTCTATATGTATACGAAATCATACGGGGGAAACATTGGTGCGTAATGGCTTATTTATAGCGTACGATTGTTCGAGAAACGAGGGTATTGTTTCTCGGTGCCCGATATTGTTCTTATCTACCTTTTCCTTATCGCTCACCTGTAACCGTTCCCTCTTGCCACCGAGGTGACGTTATCTCCTCCAGACGAGCGCTCGAGATTTTTCTCGTTTTTTTTCTACCCGACACAATTCTTCCATTATTCTTCAATCCATTCGGATTGTTTCCCTCTCGTTGAACTCGTGGATCTGTTGCGTCGTGGATGACACGCGTTGTCCAAGATCGCAGGATCGAAGCGTGCGATAACTAGGGAACGCGTCCAAGTTGAATGCTTACCGTGGGATCGAGACGCGATAACACCGACAGCGGTAACGTCTGGCGTCTGGCTTTGATTTTGCGTCGCGTTTAAAAATATCGTCGGCAAGGCTTTTGAAAATACTTAAAGGGAGATTCCGTTCCTCTGCTTTCTACGCGTCTCTCCGATAACAAGACCGCCAACGATATTGCGGTTCGGTATCAAGAGAACG